ACACACACACACACACACACACAAATTTTCAGAATAAGAGGCAGAGCCCTTTCTCCATGGCCACATTCTTTTAGGAGAATGCACAGTATGATGAGGATTGTCATGCCTCATGGCAGATAGCAATGGTGACTGCTCGGACTTCGTAGCTGGGGCGGTTGGAGCCAGAAAGGTCCCACAAAGCCCAGATGAAGTGAAGGTTTTCACCCAGCTTGATTGAAGCCTTTTATGTTCCCAGTAACGCTGTCTGCCGAAGTCGGCCACATGCAGGGTTAGTCTCCTGAGCGGGGGGATTAACTCATTTTTATTCTTACAACAACCCTAAGGTACTGTTATTACCGTCAGTTTTTATCTAAGGACTCTGGGGCACAGAGAGGTTATGTAATTTACCCAAGATCACACAGCCAGGAAGTGAGAGAGCTACAATTTAAACCCAGGCATCTGACTCCAAAGTCTAGCCTCTTAATCTCAGTATTGACCCCCTCAAAACAGACAAGCCCTCTTGGAGTTGAGATTCTAGTGCGAGCAGGGTAGACAGACGAAACTCAAGCACAGTAACTCTCAGATGTACAGGCATGTCATTATCAGATGTTAAGTGCTTTGAAGAAAATTTAGACCAGATAAAGACGCCAGGGAAGGGTGGGGGAGTGCGGCATGCAGGGGTCATCAAAGTCCTCCCTGATCAGGCATTTGAGCGAAGCACAATGTGGGGAGCCTTGGGGATGTGGTAGAGGGTAGAGGGGGTGTTCCTGGCAGAGGGGTGAGCAGTACAAAGTCCCTGAGGTGGGGGCAGAGGAGGGGCATTTAGAGGTCACAGCACAGAGGCCATGGTGCTAAATTGCAGTGATCTGGTCAGCAGGGTAGGAGGGCCCACACCTCGGAGGGCCGCATGGGCCGCAGTGAGGACGTGTGCGCTCTCCTTTGAGTCAGCCCATGGTGAGGACCAGGAAGCCAGAGGAGAGTTTTGAGCAGGATGTGCTCTGAGCTGGCTTTCCAGTGCTGTGATGCACCTGGAGTGCATGAGGTCGTGAGCAAGTGACAGAGGTGACTGAGCTCAGGGTGGCTGCAGGGGACGGGAGAGGTGTGGATTCTGGTTGTCCTCCGGACTGGGGGGGTCCGTGTCAGAGCAGAGGCAGGAGAGCCATGTCATCTGTGGAGCCCTGCGCATCTGCGTTAGTCCTTATGACAGACCGGTGGTGGCCGCCCTTCCCTATCCCAGCCTCCTCTGTGAGAAGGACGGGGCGGCTCCAACCCCTCTCTAAGCCCCCCTCTGCCTGCTCTGTTAATGATGTACAAGCAAGAACCGCTGTTCGCCGTGGCCGTGGCACTCTGCAAGGTACCAGGTTTGCCTCTTCCACCCTGCACATCACATACTTACCTCCTACCAAGCCCCGTCCTCACCCGGAGGAAAACATGGATGCTGAGCAAAATTTCTCCCTCGCCTGTCCGTGCTTCCAGACCAAAGAGGACACTGCTGAGAGATGAGGGTCTGAGGTAGCGTGGGGGAGGAGGAGCAGAGAGAAGACAGGGTCCCAGCAAAGGTGGAGGGGCTGCGGGTTGGTGAGTAAGGAATAGAGTCCGGTGGTGCAGAGGCGCTGAGATGTCAGGGAGTCTCTGAACCCCAGACTTGGGGCTTTGTGCAGAGACTGCACGAACAGAGGAGAAGAGCCACCGCCCAGGGCAGCAGGTGCCGTCCTGCGTGGTTGTTCATCTGCTGGCCCCGCCCCCGTCTGTGCATCTGGGAGGGAGGGCGGGGCTCTCCACTTCTCAGCCCTTGACCCTCCATCATGTCAGGAAATGTTCCGTGGGCAGGTGCAACGCTCCGTGGGGTTCCAGATGAGACTCTGATGCTGTTGATGGCACCATTCAATCAAATGCCAAATGGTCTCCAAGGCCTGGCCTTCGGGAAATTGTGACAGTGTAAACCTCCTGTCCCTGCCAAGTTCGGTCCCTTCTCCTCCCATACGTGCCCCTCACTGAATCTGACTCTGGCTGGTGGGTCTCACCCCCCTCGTGGCCCTGAGCATGAGGCCATCACATTTGCAGCCTGGGGAGGTCCACTGAGTTGCTGGGTTTGGTTTCAGGACCCTGCCTCTCAACTTCCAGCCCAGGTTGGTGCCCAGCTCCCTCTGAGCTTTGCCACCACCTTCACGTGTGCCCAAGTTCTTGGTCCAGTTCTAAGTCAGTGGTTCTCAAGTTTTTTGACCTAAGCCTTCATTGTCCTCTATTATTCAGGGCATCAAAGGGCTTTTGTTCAGGTGGAGTATATCAATATTTACTATATTTGAAATTGAAATGGGGACTTTTAAAATATTTATTTTAGAAGAACAATAATACGTTGATTATATGTTAGCAAATTTTTTATTAAAAAAACCTATTTTTTCAAAGGAAAAAATAGTGAAGAGTGGCCTTGGGGATATGGATTTTTGGAAATCTCTTTAATGTCAGGTTTCATAGAAGCTCTACCTGCTCCTGCATTCAGTCTGTTGTTATATCATACATCATGTAGCCTCTGGAAACCCCCACCTGAAGCTGTTGGCAGCTCTAGTCAAATCAAATGCTAAATGGCCCCCATAAAGCCTCTGCCTTCATTGTCCTGGACATTGGGAAGTTTGTGAGAGTGAAGTCCACTCTAAGAGAATGGAAGGAAAAAGACATCATATCTGAGTGCTGTGATGCAGATAGCTTTGACCTTGCAGACCCCTCCAAAGGGTGTCAGGAACCCCCAGGAGCTCCCAGGCCATTTGCCCTTAATGGATGGAGGGCAGCCTCATGTCTGTCCCCCTGTACCAGGACCCCGCACAGAGTGAGTTCTCCGAAAGCCTTTGCCAAATGAATCAGGCACGGGGAGCTAATGACCATCCTGGGCTGGAAGTGGGGGCTCCTCCTCGCTTGACGGCCTGGCAGGGCCGTGGAAGCATCCATGAGAGGGTGTGCTCACATCCTGAGGAGGAGCAGGTCCAGAGGGGGCCCCGGGGCAGTGAACCAAGTCCCTGTGTCTGGGCCATTTCCCTGGGCCGGCCGCTCCCCGCCTGCCCTGATGCTCAGCCCAGCCCAGTCTCCCTGCTCCAGGCATGTAACAGCCCTGCCTTTGCTTTCACAGGGAGCCCCACAAGACCAGCGTGGTCGCGTTCTTCCAGACCGACCTCAGCGGCTACCTCCCGCAGGGCGTGGTGGACTCCTTCTTCCCCCGCAGCATGGCCGGCTTCTACGCCAACCTTCAGAAGGCAGTGAAGAAATTCTACGGCTGACATCCTGGCCTGCTGGCAGAGAACTGGCATGACTCTCGTGGAGCTGCAGTTACCAGGACACTGGAATGCCTTCGAGAACTGTGTTTGTCCCTTGAAACCCGCTGACGGACAGCTCTCCTGGAGCATCAGCCAAGGGCGGCCCTGGCCCTTCCTGCTCCTCCTTCTACTCGGCTCCACCTGGGAGGAGCTTCTGCCATTTTCCAAACACACCT